AGACCTACACAAGGCTGGAATGGGCTACAAGACCATTGCCAAGCAGCTTGGTGAGAAGGTAACAACAGTTGGTGCGATTATTCGCAAATGGAAGAAACATAAAATAACTGCCAATCTCCCTCGGCCTGGGGTTCCATGCAAGATCTCACCTCGTGGAGTTGCAAGGATCATGAGAACGGCGAGGAATCAGCCCAGAACTACACGGGAGGATCTTGTCAATGATCTCAAGGCAGCTGGGACCATAGTCACCAAGAAAACAATTGGTAGCACACTACACCGTGAAGGACTGAAATCCTGCAGCGCCCGCAAGGTCCCCCTGCTCAAAAAAGCACATATACATGCCCGTCTGAAGTTTGCCAATGGACATCTGAATGATTCAGAGGACAACTGGGTGAAAGTGTTGTGGTCAGATGAGACCAAAATGGAGCTCTTTGGCCACAAATCAACTCGCCCTGTTTGGAGGAGGAGGAATGCTGCCTATGACCCCAAGAACACCATCCCCACCATTAAACATGGAGGTGGAAACATTATGCTTTGGGGGTGTTTTTCTGCTAAGGGGACAGGACGACTTCACCGCATCAAAGAGACGATTGACAGGGCCATGTACCGTCATATCTTGGGTGAGAACCTCCTTCTTTCAGCCAGGGCATTGAAAATGGGTCGTGGATGGGTATTCCAGCATGACAATTACCCAAAACACACGGCCAAGACAACAAAGGAGTTGCTCAAGAAGAAGCACATTAAGGTCCTGGAGTGGCCTAGCCAGTCTCCAGACCTTAATCCCATAGAAAATCTGTGGAGGGAACTGAAGGTTCGCGTTGCCAAACGTCAGCCTCGAAACCTTAATGACTTGGAGAAGATCTGCAAAGAGGAGTGGGACAAAATCCCTCCTGAGATGTGTGCAAACCTGGTGGCCAACTACAAGAAACGTCTGACCTCTGTGATTGCCAACAAGGGTTTTCCACCAAGTACTAAGTCATGTTTTGCAGAGGGGTCAAACACTTATTTCCCTCATTAAAATGCAAATCAATTTATAACATTTTTGACATCCGTTTTTCTGGATTTTGTTGTTGTTATTCTGTCTCTCGCTGTTCAAATATACCTACCATTAAAATTATAGACTGATCATTTCTTTGTCAGTGGGCAAACGTACAAAATCAGCAGGGGATCAAATACTTTTTTTCCCTCACTGTACACGGGTGTGTTGGCAGGGCGGAGGAACCGGGGCAAGGGTCATGGAGGGCCCCATCTGGAGGCCCCTGAAACCTGCTGGTGGGTTCGAGAAGGGAGGCGCCGCCAGGGCGGAGCCAGGCCGTGCTGGTAGCATCAAAGGGGCTGAGAGCGGGAGCTCGAGGCTGCCGGTTTTGGGAATTGGATCGTCTCGTCGCCATCGTCGCTGCCGTCTTCGCTCGAAATTGCGCTGCGGGACAGCCTGTTAGCTGTCTCCGTCAGCGCCGTCGATGTTAGATGGCTCCTGTTGTGTCATAGGCTAGCGACTACAGAGTGCGCGCAGGCGAGATCCGTGAGTGTTGTAAAAGAGAAGATGCCTCTACAAACCTCGTCTCAGAAGTCACTGCACTACACGTGTGTCAACCACTGCCGCCCCCACCACTCCAATAGGGATGGATAAATTGAGCGTGCAAAGGGAACAGGGAGGCGTGGACTCTTGCGAATGACAATCTCCGTGAGCACGACGTCTGTGGGGCAATTCTCAGTGAGCAAAATGAGACAGCGGAGACAAACCAGCACCGTTTGAAAAGTGTGTGTGCATGTACTGTGCATTTAACTTGTTTCTTCGCAACGTGCGTGCGCGAAGCCACGCAAACGCATTTACGGGCCACGGAGGGTTTCAAGAAATGAGGAAAACGCTCACTGGGAGACCCAATTGTTAGCCTTGATTTATTGAGTAAAAATACGGTGGACGGGCAGCTACGTAAAGTAATATTTAAAAAAAAAACACAACAAAAAATACCCATTCCAAGTTTCCCGTGACCGACCGCTCGCTCGCTCGTCTTGTTTCTCCTCCGTTCAAGACTACTCGCCAAAGGAGGGGGGCGATGCAAGAACTAAATGAGCAGTGAATTCACGCAGCGTGGCCTGGTTTTTCGAAGTGCAAAAAAAAAAAAACCTGCTACACGCTATATAGATAGAGATAACGCAGTCCAAACAACAAAAAAAACCACAACTAACGCATTGCCTCGTGCTGGAACTCTTCACACCGAAGGCAACCCGCAGGGCCAGATTGCGTCCCTTCACACAGCAAACACGCACGGATACTCACGGGAGCCGGGGTTTTTTTTTCTCATCTTGTTACGGGGAAACGCAAACCGGGGACAGGGCAGGGGCTCTGGGGTTCAGTGTTCACGATATAGACTTATATATATAAACTTCCGGTAATATATTTATATAGGTCCAGCGATAACACGGGGGGGGGGGGGCGGCGGGGGGGGGGGATCGTATTATCCCTAAACCAATAATGTAATTTGCACAGAAAACAGGGTAATATTAAATACCGCGCGCATTACCCCCGAACAAAGCTCGGACTCTGCCACCCCCCCACCCCCAACCTCTCTCAATCTCCAAAGAAATGTGTTGATCATTTTTGATCAACTGTTTCCGTCCGTCGGTCCAATGTGAATACGTTTTGTAATATTACGCGATACAAGTACTGTACACACCTAGAGCGCACACAGAGTAACGTGGCAAAACGTGCACGGCAAGGCAATGCACAAGACCTCGCAAGCGGTTGGTTGCCGAAGGGTGCCCCCAAGCACCAGGCTAAAAAAACAAATAAACACAGACATTGTCTTAGGGAAGCCAACAATATTTGCACAAACTATAGAAATGGTATGCTTTTTGTTTGTTTGTTCCGTTTATAAACATTAGGGGTATACAGCTGTAATTGTTATCCAAGCTGTGCATATCTCAGAAATGTATGCAAAGTATAAATTGCTAAAACAAATCAAGGACACACGGTTGATACATTTTGTGTTCCAAAGAATATGTTTTTTTTTAGGTAAAATGCTATGGGTTTGTAAACCGTATTTAAATGCTGTGCATATACGCGTTATATATTGTGCATGTGTATATCGTCTAAACTGTATATATTTTGTTAATGTACACACATAATTATGTATGTAACACGGTGTATGCATGATACGTAATTGTGTTTGTATGCGTGTTGGGAAACTGTGTATGTTTTCGGGTGATTTGTTCGCCTTTCCCGTACTTTGCACTCCTATGATATTTTGTTTTGCATTGTTTGTTGTTGTAGCGTTCTTACCCGCCCCGACTGGACATCTGTGTGAAAAAAAGAGCTTTGTAGCTCATCAGATTCCTCCTGCAGTATAAATAAATATTGTGATTCTGCGTGTTCTGCTCATATGGCAGTCGGCATCAATTTCAATTGGGATAAACAAATCAAGATCCCAAATGCGCAACGCACGCCGCTGTATGCTCACTTCGGTTCTATTAACAATGCGTTGTATTATTTTTTCTAAAAACCCTCTACGCCCGTTGTAGAATAACCATAGTGAAATAGAAATACCACACCCAGTGAGGTGGCCGCCGATAGGCATTATGCAATGCCCACTCTTTCACGCGCGCACCAAACAATCGCGCACACGAGGAGGAGTGCGGTTGTACAAATGGTGGGACTATGATTCCATTAGCACAATGTGGTGTTAGTGTTTCCGCCCATCATTTTACAAGTGTACAAGTTACATTCACAAACGTATCACTGCCGCGTGTATATTGCAAATTAAATCGCTACAGAACGAGACGAGTGTATTAAGAGTTTTTCATTTTTTTGTCCATTTAAAGTTTCCAAACTCTTCAGACTGCTTTGCATTAATACGCAATCTGATATATTCAATTTCCTCCATCATCCTTGCTTCATATTCACACATCGTTGCTCTTATCATTTTTCTAGACACGGAATGTATCATTTTTAAAGAGTCTTACCAACTCACCACGATGCTACCAAACTGCAAAATGACCTCCAAATTTTGAAATGTTCACCAGTTCAGAACAGACCGCCCCGGCATTTCGCGATGCCACTTGTGACATGTGGTTTGCCAGCAGGGCACTGAGGATCATCATCATTACGGAATTATTTTGTTAGAAACAGCAGTGAATTTGCATGAAACTAATGACAAATAAAAACACGAGGTGAAGAAATGCGCACTACCACAACGTGTCCGTAAGTTATCGTCCGTTATTAAAGGGTTATAACTAGACAGCAGTTTTAGCCCGACGAGTGGCAGCCCGAGGAATGGAATCGTCTGAGAGGACGTCCACTGAAGGAGATAAATCCAGTTCATGTGCGGGCACTATGCGGATTAATAAATCGCAGGATCGTCAGGTGGGGGCAGCAGTTGCTGACGATGACGACTTTACCAGCCGATTCAACTCACGCACCTCCGATTAGCACGGGTTGGTTACGTACGGTGCAAAAGAAGTTCAACATATACATATATACCACTAAAAAACAAAAGTATGTTTTTTTAATTTTTACCAGGTAAGGCCCACTGAGCCACAAATCATAGCACAACGACGTGGTTTGTCATCATGTGGAAATTTAAAGCAGCCAAATATTCGAAACGCATGTTGATTCGGAGAAAAAAATCCACAGAAACACGGGGAACAAGTGAAAACTCCAAATATACAGCAGGCATCAGGGTCGGGATGGAACCTACAACCTTCTGTATACCAGGCAAGGTAGTTAACATCTCGCCACTGTGGCGCCCCATACAAACGAAATGCATCCCTCAAATGATCATCTACACGTGTGTCCACGTGTATTGGCGATGCACATCGAATCCAGATTTGAGAGAGTCCATCTCAAGTGGGATTGTTTAGAATGCTTCTGTTGTATATTTGGCAAACCACTTACTGTATTTACCTTTCTCCCAACTCTGACATTTAATTCACACGCTTTCCAACTGCCGTCTAATTATAATTCTTTTCATAATCGTTGAAACGTTTACGGACACCCTGCATGTCAGACATACCGTTAATTTGTATTTTTTATATTTGAAGAAAGTATTTGTGATTCACAAATGCAACAGGCGATGAGTCAATCACACACAGAGCAATGGTTTAGTTGACAGCAATTGCATGCCCTCAATACTGAAGTGTCTACGCACACGCACGCTGTATGCTGTGCGGACGAATGGCCTGGACTGTGCATTTTCCCGACCACCTTACACCAGCAGAACTCCAGATGGTTCCCCAGATTTCGATACACCACAGGGCATAAATTTACACGAGCAACGTTTGACTCTAATTTTAAGTTTTAATTGTTTGTCCTCATTAAACATCATTTTTAACTAACGTTTGCCCATTAAACGCGATGATTAGACATTTAACCGCTTAGTCAAATATACAACATCCAATTATCAGCACGTGCACAAAAAAATGTGTTGAACAATTAACCAATGGATTCATAATGACTCAAGGTCGATTTGCAATTCTATGGAGCAATGACATCAGTCCTTTAAAGGACATGTCTTTGGAGAGGATTCTTTTTACACGTTTTTTCAAGTTTCCCAGTACCTAGGTGATGCCCGTTTCAAAATTAATGTCCACCTCTCGCTAATTTGCATGCTCTACCTGTGCAAAGTCATTTAGATGAAGAGGATGAGTGTGAATAATATACCCCCGTGTGTGAGCATCAAGAGTTACTAACGCAAGATCCGGAGGGGTTCCCAAGATGTTGTGCAGAGGGGGGATTTCACGTGCCACACATTGAACGCCAATGTGATTAATTTTATACAAGTAACAAACTTTACGGTGTGATGAGAACTTATCTACTTTTGGGGGTACATTTTTTAGGAAATGTAAAATATGCGGCAACACACATTTATTTTGTTTAACCACAGTCATGAATTTCAAAAAAAATATTTTCAGACTTATTGTATATTTCCCTCAGAGCCGCGACGGGTGAGGATGTATCCCAATGGTAATGCCACTCCAAACGGTGTTAAAATAACGCGGGCACGTATACTTGTGGCTCCTTCAGATTTAACGGGGGCAACTGAAAATTAATGACCACGCTCATCCTAAACAGCGGACGCTCGCAACACCGGCACCAACCCCTTCTTCCGGGGGGGCCTTGGCATGAATTTTCAGCGCCCTCTGTTGTGGCTTTATTTACGCAATTTTTTTTCTTTCCCGCAAGGTCAAATGAAGTACTCCTTCTTCTCCTCCGTGTTGTTCTGCACGCCGTCCGCTCCCACGATTGGAGTGTCCGCCTCTTGAGTCCCCTCGGCGCCTTTCGCCTCGTTGGTCAGGTACGTTCCTGCGAAACAGGGGGTGGCACAAAAGAAAAACAGGTTGTCTGTACAGCGCTAGCAGCAGAGCGACAGCTTTGAGCTCTTCTGCCTGGAAGAAGTGCCCGAAGCGAAAGACCTCGTCGTGGACGTGAAGACGGATCGTGGGTGAGGATAAACATCAGAGCAAGGCGTTCCTTAACAAGCCAACTCCATCCCATCATGCGTGCAACTGTATGATGAGCATTTGCATTACTGGATTGTGCCTGACCTAAAAAAAAAACGTGGCGAGATGTTCACCACCTCGCCTGGTATGGAGGAGGTCGTGGGGATCGATGTCGACCCTGATGCCTGCTGCATATTTGGAGTTTGCGTGTCTCTCTCGGTGGTCGCGTGGATTTTTCTCCGGGTCCTCCGGGTTTTCGCTCCACACTTAGAATCAACGTGCGTTGAAAGTATTTCGCTGCTTTAAATTTCCACGCAATAAGCCAATTTAGTGAGCTATCATTTGTGGCCAGGTCGCTTCTGCAAAAGACCCATGCAGCTCAGTGGGGCTTACCTGGTAAAATAAACATTGTTTAGTTTATAGTTGAGTTAAAAACGTATAAGCGAGTGGGGGTCAGATGAGTACTTTAAGGGCGTGACAATTAAACGGTAATACATGTTACAGTACAACGCCGTGTCGCTTGCTCAGCACACTCGCCATTCCTGTCCGGATGTTGACCAACGCACCATCCTGGAAATATGGTCCATTAAAGTTCAACGGCCATAACAATTGTTGTTCACAGGGGGCCCCTAATTAGGGTTTTTGGTGCCATGTCAGCGACCTGTTAAAACTGTGTTCAGAAAGTCTGTGTGTATACAGATCTCAAAATCATTGAGGCCAAACGCATTGAGGCCGCCTCCACCTCATCGCTACCAACGCTTCACATCCTCCATCTCATCGCTATCAACATTGGTGACTGCATAGCGCGCTATTCAAAGATCCGCTCCTGCGGCCATCTGGAACGCTCTTCCTTCCGATATTAGGAAGCCAAATGAGCTGTGCACTTTTAAATCATCTAGATTGCAAACTCATTTCTCTAGAACTGATTTTTTTGTTTAGTTGTCCTTCACCCGGCACCCACGATTAACACGGTTGGCTACGTACGGTGTGAAAGAAGTTCAACATACATACTGTGCATACAGGTACATACATGTACGTTGAATTTCTTTCACACCGTACGTAGCCAACCGCGCTAATTGGAGGTACATACATACCCTCCACCAAAATCCCGAAGCTTCTGAACAGGAGACACACAGTGACCTCGAGGATCTGACCTGACAGTATCCCACCATCTGCTCTCCGGTCTTCCCCCGTTGGCTGCATACACATGGCGCATTGTACAACAGTCCTTAAAATCCACCGTTGTAATACGTAAATCGTCGGCGGACAACACCGCAAAGGGCCCGCATCGTGAGGAATATTTATCAGCTGCGCATTCCGCGCACGACGGAACGTGAATATGAAAATAATTTCATGAACAATCACACAAGGTGCATGAGCGTCGCCCTCCTTAAATTAAACGCTCATTGTCAGACCAAATTGAGTGCTCCGTGCATGTTTGCACGCATTATAATCTCACGAAAATCTCTCTTTGGGGGCTCGCGCGGGTGAAATGAGATGCATTTTTACTACCGAGCATTCACGTTTCCACTGAATTGCCACCAGCGCTCTCGCGCGCACACACACACACGCACACAATGGCTCTCGAATTGTTTGCGAGCACAATGGAACGTGCGGCATTAAAATGCAAATCGCTGAGTCGGCAAAAAAATAAACAAAACTGTAAAGCAGCCAATGATATTGCATTCAGAGAGCGCAGCACAATTATGAATGACACTGAGCAGTGACGCAACTGAGAATGAAAAAGTACCTCGGTTAAAGGCTGTCTGGAGCGAATCTTTATCTCCACACCTTTTTTATTTCAACTCTTGGCAACACCGTTGCTCCTTTGACTTTTCACGGCGGAAGAGGGGGGGGGGGGAATGCCCTCTCCTCTCTCTCTCTCTCTCTTTTTCTTTTTCCTGCAGCGTAAGAGAGCGTCTGTCTCTTTTTTTAACTTATGCTCTTTAAGGCTGACACCCTGCGAAAGTCTTCCGCTTTCATGCCTGCCTGGTACAACTGCGGTCCCCCACCCACCCACCCACCGCCCGCCCCGCGAGTGTCTACGCCATTATTCCTTGCGCTTTATTCAGTCAAACCATTTTTTTTACCTCTTCCAATTACACAGCTGGCAGAGTACAAATGCGCATTCGCAAGGGCAATCCTCCCCACGGCCAATTAATGTTGACACACGCGACGCCGAAAGAAGCAATCGCTCGCGGGAAGAATCGCCGGGGGAAGTGCGGCTATTTGCCACGTGTTGTGCTGACACTTGCTCTTACGCCAGAAGGACTTGGAGAACATCTTTACGCGAACGCGTCTGGGTACCTTTCATTAGGCAGCGATAAGATATATTTGGCCCTCGGAATATATTGCTCGAGAAGGATACGACTGCATCTAAGCGGGGCCCAGAGAGTGACCAGAAATAGAAGTAATATAAAGGTTGCATGCATAATAATACCTGATGCAGGCAGTGATGAGAAGGAAACGGACGCTATTTGGACACATGCGTAGGATGGATAATAACAGGAAGATAAAACAATGTTTTGTTGCTCGAAAGAATGGAAGGAACCGGAAATAGATGAAGACCTAACAGAGAGTGGCTTGACGATGACATAGGGGAGAGATTGGGTGCCGGAAAGATGTGGCTACGACTCGAGAATTTTGGCACAATACAGAGAGGAAAGTGGAAACAAATTACGGAATGTGCAGTCGACACCTTCGGGCTATCTGCCCATCGATTGCGATGATGATCTTTCATGATGAAAATTAAGACAAAAACACTTTCAAAGTAATGAGAAAATATTAAACTGGTTTGCCAACAGAATGAGTTTGTCAACCAAATATATGCAGCATAAATGCAGTACTATAATAAAAAAACAGGGAATTCTGGCATCCACATTTGAAACAACTGTGCATAGTAAACATAAATATGACTGTGCACCAAACATATTTACAATAATTTAAGCAAACTTAGGTAAAATAATTCATCAGCGATAACGATGGCAGAAAAAAACTACATTGCACAAGCAAAGGGAGTCTTACCACACGATAACATTGTATACGCTTCATCCATAGTAAAACAAAAAAACTGCAAGTACAACCATTTATCACGAAGTGGTGTTTAAGAAGACTTAGTAAAAGAGCATAAAAGCAATGTTTCCTTCATTGCCCATTCGGTTCCATTCTAGATTTAAAGCTTTCGTGACTGCAAGGATCCATACTCGTTGGTTCTATTGGGTAAAGTCACGTAGGTAAAAAATAAAACAACAAAAATTACGACGTTTCGGCCACAACACAAGCGGCCTTCATCAGGTGAAGGGATCAGGCTGTCTCGAGGACAGCGCTGGAGTGAAACACAGCCACGCTCAGACCGCGGACCTTTAAGCTGTGTGCGAACAAACAAGGTGTCCTGACAAAGAAATTAGCATAAAAATTAGCATTTGATTGGCCGATTTTAGAAAAGAGGTGGTGTACGTGCCGGTGGCTTTGCCGTTTGGCGCGGGGGGGGGGGAGTTTACCTATTGATGGTGTAAAAAGAGAATTTATAAGAGCTGCGAAAGTTTGGAGTACCACTACTTGAAAAATATGCTGTACCATTGAAATTAGTTTAATGTTTAGTTCGATTTAGAACATCTTTCCAATGGTTGCTTAATTTGAAACCATCTTCTCAGTTAAAATTATGTCTGTGTTTGTAGATCTGAATTGCCTCGTGAACAAATCTCTGATAAAAACCCGTGGGTTTGCAAAGAACCTTGGTATCGGAGAAAATTACATCGTGATCACCCACAGCGTTGTAACAGTGATCAGCCACGGCAGAAGAATTCGTTTTGCCGTGTTTTAAATCTGATTTGTGCTCGCGAATTCGGTCAGAGACATGTCGCTTTGTCTCCCCGATATAGCAATCACCGCAGGTACAACTCAATTTGTAAACCCCGGGGTACTGTAAGTCAGGAATGACATCTTTCACGGATGGGATCAGATCACGAATTTTGTGTACTGTATTGAACCGGACCTGGATCTTGTGTTTGTTTAGAATTTTGTAAATCTTTTTAGTAACGCCTGCTATATATGGTAGTGTGATGGTTTTGACCGGAGTATCAAGTGGTTGTTTCTGTATGGAGGGAGAAACAGCTTGGCGGTTGGTACGGTCAGAGTAACCATTCCTTTTGAGGGCCAGGTGTACATCTTTTAAATCACTGGTCAGGTGGTGTTGGTCCGAAATGCAATGAGCCCTATGGTATAAAGCTTTGATGAGATAATTCTTTTGGGCTGGGTGGTGGTGGGAATCAGGTTTCAAGTAGGAATCTGTGTGGGTGGGTTTCCTGTAGACAGAATGCCCCAATGAGCCATCAGGTCAACTCTCAAACAGAACATCTAAGAATGGTAGCTTGCCATCTTTCTCCATTTCAATGGTGAATTTGATGACGGGATGTCTGGAATTGATGTGGTGTAGGAAAAGGTTCAGAGCTGGGAGGCCATGTGGCCGAATGACAAAAGTGTCATCCATATATCTCTTCCACAGGAAAGGTCTGAGGGTGGAAGTCTGGATGGCGTCTGATTCAAATTTCTCCATGAAAATATTGGCTATCACTGGTGACAAGGGGGATCCCATGGGGGTACCCTCATTTTGTTTGTAGAAGGAGCCATTCCAAGTAAAGTAGGTATTGTTGAGGCAGTGCCTAACCAGTGCAGGTGTGTCGGGGTCTAGTCCATGTTGGACCAAATTTTCAATTATTTCAATGGTATCAGGTACTGGGACCTTGGTGAACAAAGAGACCACATCGAAGCTGACAAGGATATCGTCAGGGGACAGTACAACGTCTTTGACCATAGAGACCAATTGGCCTGAGTTAAGTACTGCTGAGGCGGTTTTGCCAGTGAAAGGCAGCAAGGTATCTGACAGAAAATGGGCTAGTCTATAGGTAGGGGAGTTGATTGTGGATACGATGGGTCGTAGTGGGGTGCCTTCTTTATGAATCTTGGGAAGACCATAGAATCTAGGGAGTCTTGCAGCAGAAGGTTTTTGGGAGACACGTTTAGTTGGGTCGATTAGGGAGGTCGAACTTGTGATGATCTTGTTGGATTTTATCGCTAGGCTATTGGTAGGGTCATTTTTTTATTTTTGAGTAACTTCCATCGTTGAGCAGATTCTGGATTGTGTTGTTGTTGTTGTATGAATCTTTACCTACGTGACTTTACCCAATAGAACCAAAGAGTATGGATCCTTGCAGTCACGAAAGCTTTAAATCTAGAATTGATAACCTCTACGGGGAGAGCTTTCACCTATCTGTTAGAGCTTTTAACAGACAACGGGACAAGAAGTCACAGCTCATCGAGACGCTGATCTTCCTCAAAAGATGCCGCGATCACAAGGTAATACCCATCGCTTTCACACTCACTTCTGCTGCTGTATCTTCTCCGAATTCTAAACAGATTCTGCTTAAGGCCAGCCTATCTTTAATCTCAGAGAGGATAAGGCTACTCCGATTTGAACTCGATACTTTAGACAGGACTCTCCTACAAGCTCATTTAATGTTAACACAAAAAAGTCACCTTCTGATTGGAATCACGTAGACAACATGACTGCTTCTTCTGCTGAGTCACTGTCAGTCAAATGTAAAGCTAACCTGATTTCTAAATTCAACCACCTATCAAAGAGGAACCCAGTTCCACATATAACAAAACTAGATGTTAACAAAATCGTCATTGATCAGAGTAGCACCCCGATTTCGGACAATCTGAAAACAGTACTGGCTAGGGGACTGAATTTTGCTGTCACCCCAAAACATATACCAGTAGATGATATCATCTCTCAGGTCGATGTAGCCCTCAAAGGCGTAGGACACATCCAAGCAGACTTTGCGAGAGCTGAAATAGCCACTATTCTTGAGAATGCTAAGAAACCCATTAGTAACATCAGCAAAAATGAACGCTCTGAACTCGCGTTTTTAAACAAAAAGAAGTGATATAGTCATCCTCTCAGCCGATAAAGTCAACGCTACTGTTATTATGGATAAAGATTCATACAACAACAAAATCCAGAATCTGCTCAACGATGGAAGTTACTCAAAAATAAAAAAAATAACCCTACCAATAGCCTAGCGATAAAAACCAACAAGATCATCACAAGTTCGACCTCCCTAATCGACCCAACTAAACGTCCCTCCCTAAAACCTTCTGCTGCAAGACCCCCTAGATTCTATGGTCTTCCCAAGATTCATAAAGAAGGCACCCCACTACGACCCATCGTATCCACGATCAACTCCCCTACCTATAGACTAGCCCGTTTTCTGTCAGATACCTTGCTGCCTTTCACTGGCAAGACCGCCTCAGCAGTACTTAACTCAGCCCAATTGGTCTCTATGGTCAAAGACGTTGTACTGTCCCCTGACGATATCCTTGTCAGCTTCGATGTGGTCTCTTTGTTCACCAAGGTCCTAGTACCTGATACCATTGAAATAATTGAAAATTTGGTCCAACATGGACTAGACCCCGACACACCTGCACTGGTTAGGCACTGCCTCAACAATACCTACTTTATTTGGAATGGCTCCTTCTACAAACAAAATGAGAGTATCCCCCATGGGATCCCCCTTGTCACCAGTGATAGCCAATATTTTCATGGAGAAATTTGAATCAGACGCCATCCAGACTTCCACCCTCAGACCTTCCCTGTGGAAGAGATATGTGGATGACACTTTTGTCAATTGGCCACATGGCCTCCCAGCTCTCAACCTTTTCCTACACCACATCAATTCCAGACATCCCGCCATCAAATTCACCATGGAAGTGGAGAAAGATGGCAAGCTACCATTCTTAGATGTTCTGTTTGAGAGGAAACCTGATGGCTCATTGGGGCATTCTGTCTACAGGAAACCCACCCACACAGATTCCTACTTGAAACCTGATTCCCACCACCACCCAGCCCAAAAGAATTCTCTCATCAAAACTTTATGCCATAGGGCTCATTGCATTTCGGACCAACACCACCTGACCAGTGAATTAAAACATGTACACCTGGCCCTCAAACGGAATGGTTACTCTGACCGTACCATCCGCCAAGCTGTTTCTCCCTCCATACAGAAACAACCACTTGATACTCCGGTCAAAACCATCACACTACCATATTGAGCAGGCGTTACTAAAAAGATTTCCAAAATTCTAAACAAACACAAGATCCAGGTCCGGTTCAATACAGTACACAAATCTGATCCCATCCGTGAAGGATGTCATTCCTGACTTACAGTACCCCGGGGTTTACAAATTGAGTTGTACCTGCGGTGATTGCTATATCGGGGAGACAAAGCGACATGTCTCTGACCGAATTCGCGAGCACAAATCAGATTTGAAACACGGCAAAACGAATTCTTCTGCCGTGGCTGATCACTGTTACAACGCTGTGGGTGATCACGATATAATTTTCTCCGATACCAAGGTTCTTTGCAAACCCACGGGTTTTTATCAGAGATTTGTTCACGAGGCAATTCAGATCTACAAACACAGACACAATTTCAACCGAGAAGATGGTTTCAAATTAAGCAACCATTGGAAAGATGTTCTAAATCGAACTAAACATTCAACTAATTTCAATGGTACAGTATATTTTTCAAGTAGTGGTACCCCAAACTTTCGCAGCTCTTATGAATTCCCTTTTCACACCATCAATAGGTAAACTCCCCCCCCCCCCCCGCGCCAAACGTCAAGTCCACTGGCACGTACACCACCTCTTTTCTAAAATCGGCCAATCAAATGCTAATTTCTATGCTAATTTCTTTGTCAGGACACCTTGTTTGCTCGTACACAGCTTAAAGGTCCGCGGTCTGAGCGTGGCTGTGTTTCACTCCAGCGCTGTCCTCGAGACAGCCTGATCCCTTCTCCTGATGAAGGCTGCTTGTTTTTGTGGCCGAAACGTCGTGATTTTTGTTGTTTTATTTTTTACCTACGTGACTTTACCCAATAGAACCAAAGAGTACATTCTGTTCCAGTTTCTCATGGCTCACCAGATCAACCAGCCAAGCTCTGCGGCCCAAACGTCACTCAATGCAGCTTGCAAGCCATGAAAATCCAATGTCGAAATGCTTATTAAGCATTGTGAAATTTCCACTTCAAATGATGTTTCATCCAAAGCCTAGATTGTGCAATTGATTGAATCTGGTGGCTCAAATTCAAGAGCATCTCAAAGACAGAACAATGAGCAGTGCTTTGAACCAAATAATGTTCCGATATGTATGCAAATTTGCGGACCCACCCATACTGGACATCTGTGATTTAGAACTTCGTAGCTCATCGGATTCCTCCAGTATAAATAAAGATTCTGATTCTGATGTAGGTATGTTGAACTTATTTCTGACCGTACGTGGCCAACCGTGATAATCGGAGGAGCGGTATCTTGAGGGGGGGGGGGGGGGGGGGGGGGGGGTAGATACAAACAAAAACTAAACTTTGTTTCCATCAGGGTCAACCACACTCTTCATTTAGTTCTGTAGCGATGATGGATCCTGAGCCTTAAAAAGTCAAAACCCTACTGTGCGTCGGGAAACTGAAGTCACCGTGAGCCCACTGGCACTCAGCCAGCCTTCAATTACCTCCGTTGGCCATCCCCACGTGGGGAATTTAAAAAAAATGCACCAGATCACTCATCTTACTCTCAATGTAATCTAAAGCTGGGACTGATTTCCATTTATCAGTTGCTAAATATTTAATGCATGAGACTTGACATTTAGGTCCATAATTATTATCTTGGCTTTTTTTTTAGCTCTCGCATGTGGCTGCAGTGAAAGCCGTTTTGGCATTTTCTCTTCGCCAATTATGTCCCAATTGTGCTTTTGGCTCCCACACAGACAGCAAAGCATATTTCATTCTGGATCCACCCATGACAGCCCATCTACATGTGATTTTAGGGAAGAGCCCAGAAGGTTTATGACAGCTCTTCGCTTGATATTCTACGACGGCCTGTCTTAACATAGCCCCGAGCCTGCGCTCTTAAATCTTTATATGTATGAGAGGTTCTTTTGGCACATGTCGACTAAATAAGCCAGCGGTGACTGAATTAAGGTGGTTATGAAATGTATACATTGATATTGGTGCGCCTTGGCTAATATCACGCTGGCCACACGTGAACATCTTATTTGAATTGAGACAGACACTCGGAACAAGGGCTGGTAATATTAGCAGCAGCAGCAGCTGCCTGAAAAGCAATACAATCGAGAGTGAAATTAAGCTGCTCTATTCAATTCCCCAAGAAGCTGTTCACACGTGGAGTGAAACGTCGGACAACTTCTTGACCAACCCGCGGTAACAACCCCCGCCAAGGACACATTGGATGGTGAACCAAACCCAAGGATCTCAACAGTTTCGATTAAAAAATAGCATTGCATCACAAGGCAAGAAACTATGAACTAAACTTTTTTTTTTATTTTACCAGGTAAGGCCCACTGAGCTATGTAGCTCTTTTTCAGAAGCGACCTGCCCACAAACGAAGTGACTTATCACACGGAAATTTATAGCAGCAGCCAAATACTGTAAAAAATGCACGTTGATTCTAAATGTGGAGGGAAAACAACGGATGACCCAGAGAAAAATTCACGCGACCACGGGGAGAGAGAGAGACACGCAAACTCCAAATATACAGCAGGCGTCAGGGTCGGGATCAAACTCCACGACCTCCTGTGCACCTGGCGAGGTAGTTAACATTTCTCCACCACGGCGCGAGCAGAGTTTAGCTTTCGGGGTTCACCAGCTGCCGGCCCTCCACCACCCTGACCTCTAGCAGCGTCGGGGGGGGGGGGGGGGGGGTGGGGGGTGGGGGTCTCCTCACCTTTATGCCTGGCCAGGTAGCGTCCCAGGATGACGAGCAGGCAGAGAGTGGCGAACACCGCCACCGCCACGACGCCGCCCACCACCGCGTGATCCGCCCCGCGCGCCGCCAGTGGCACCATATCTGCACTCCCCCCCCCCACCCCCCCACCGAATACAAAAGATTAACCCCCTCCCCCCCCCCCCACTCTCTCATGTCGGTGATGTGCAGCGCGTCTTCTTCGAACGCTGGGGGGCCGGAAAAGCCCCTCTCTGTACCAGCGTGGACGGCACCACCCCACGTGTTCACCTTCTGAAGCGCTCGCTCGTCACTGCGGCGTGCGCGATGACCACCTCCACCACCACCACCACGTGACTTTTCTTTCGTGTTGTGCGCGGTGCATTAAGGCGCCACAGCGCGTGGATTTATAGCGTTTGTTTTATTTGTTTTTATGGTGACTTTGTGTATTTCATATCGGAATCGCCTCCAGTGCTGTTGCTGCTGGCGGCAATAAAAGTTGTTTAAAAGTCAAAAAGTCTGTGTAGCCTTAGTAGACTGTTGTGGGGGGGGGGCGACGACAAGGTGCTGGTACACACGCAAAAGTACTCGCCACAAATGAACCGAAATTATTTGACCTTGCTGATCTCTCGTCAAGGAGCAGTAACCGTCAGGCGAAACTCCGGTCATCCTCGCAGCGGCGGCGGCTTCTGGCGAAACCGCTGAACAAGCACGGTCATCACTTTCAGATGCGCTTCCACGGCCATCTGGAACGCCCTTCCTTCCGATATTAGGAAGCCACTGTAAATATGCACTTTTAAATAATCTAGATTGAAAACTCATTTGTTGCGAACTGCTTTTTGTGTTTAGTTTGTTGTCGTTCCACCCCCACACCTCCGATTAGCACGGTTGTCTACGTACGGTGCAAACGAAGTGCAACATACATGCACACATTTCTCCTCCTCCTCCTTGCCTTGCACTACTCGACTTTGGAACTCCCTCCCATCGTCTCTCTTCACGAGCACCCGGAACTTCGTTCAGTTCAGTGCAAGGAGCTCCTGAGTACTCAGTGTCCTGTCACCAGAAATTCGAAGCGCTGACCCCTTTGCGTCCAGGGGGCCTTTGTTCGTTCGGCAGTCCCGATCTCAAAATAATGCAGCTCCACGCGTGACAAAGATCCCCCCGTGTTAGCCTTCACAGACTGTTTGGGAAAGTGCTGTTCGCGTGCATCCGTGAAGGCCGGGACGGCACACGAGAGGGTGGCTTGGCCTGCACCACGCCCAGCCGCCTTTGTCTTCCCAGTGGTGATGTTTACACACCACCAGATACTCATCGGGATGCATTTATGTGACCAACCACGCTAATCAGAGGTGCAGGGGAAAGACAACAAACTAAACAAAAAAAAGCATTTCAGGACGAGTTGACCTAGGGGAGGTCCAGGATTGGTACATATTTTCGTTAGTGGTGTTGGCCATGAGCAGGAATCGAACTCAGGTCGATGGGTTGATAGCGCAGTGCGCTAACCACTACACATATGCATCGTGCATGCACATAGAGATGGGGTATATGTATATACAAACATAAAACAGGAATCAACGGAATGTCTCGGCTATAAATTTTAATATTGGTGGAAAAAAATAACACCCCAAATGGGGCAGGTTTTTTTTTTGTTTCCCTCCGCCGAGTAAAGATGAAGAACCATCGATTCCTTGTTTTGTTGCTGAAGAAGGCACAATTTATATGACCGTGTATCTGCAAGCATCAAGCAGTGATACAATAACGTGACATAAATCCGCAGGAATAGTTGAACGTGAAACATTTTGTTGCACATCTCCAGAAGGGAGGGAAAACTCATCATAAACGGGGGTTTTAATCAAGTACAGCAATGCTTGTCAGCGAGCGTAAAAATAAATAAATCTGTTTCTGGAAAAGAGAGATGCCGACGTGCACCTTGCTGGCTCGGGTCACGCTGAAGGAGAGCGGTCGGAAGACAGCTGGCGACCGCACGAGAGGTGCAAAGAGCAAACGGTGCCCGGAGCAAATCGAGAGAAGAGCTGAAGCGGCCAACCAATGCGTTGCCGGGAGCTTTGTAAAAAAATAAAATAAAGGGACGGTGCGGGTGTAAGAATTTTTTTAAATTGCAATCTGTACGTACGTATGTGCGTTGAACTACTCTCGGACTGTACGTAGCCAACCGTGCGATTCGGAGGTGCGTGCGAATCGAATGAGAGCGAGAAAAGATGCCGTTTGGTACGCGTGACGATTACCCCTCATCGTTGGCCGCTTGCAACAAGCTGGCGCTGGTCCACACGACAAACATTAAACAAATTTATTACGACGGAAATATAGTGAGCTGGGCGGTGGTGGCTTTGGCGCGTGGCCTGTGATCCGGCACTGTGGAGGCAGCAAGGGGTTGGTGGATCATCGCACACAGATGTCGCGAAACTCCCTTCCCGTGAGCGTCGGTGCACCATGCCCTGGCGCGCTGGGATGAGGCAATATGTGGACTCCACCTGCTCCATCTGTGCTGCACCCACAGGCACGCGTCACTTTCCCTGGGTGCTTAGTTTTCCTCCATACATGTAAGCGCTCATTAACTGGTCGATAGTGCCTTCATATATGGAGGACCGCAGAGCTTGGGTGGGTGGGGGGGGGGGTAATTTGGCACCGGCTCACTGCCTGGCTGCTGCCTTTCCTGCTTGTCCGCGGTTGCCTCGTGCCTCTGAGTAGTTCTCTCCGTTCGAGAGTGAGCGGATACTCTGCGGTGGCGCGTTGCGAGTTGAGATGATTATGACGTTGTTTTTACCATTTATCGGGCAGCTAAATTCAACAGCATCTCAACACGCTGTAAAGACAGCACGGACACGCGCATCACAAGGGTCGCCGAGACAAGGAGGCACTGTGAATAGGGGGGATGGGTTGTGACCCCTGCCGTTTGTTCCTCTGTCTAGGATGAATTTACCACACCACTCTTTTCATTTGCGAATGTACGTTGAACTTCGTTCGCACCTCACACAGCAAACCGTGCTCCAGCCAAGTTCAGCTCACACCTCTAACCTGCAAACAATCGGAGGAATCCCCCTGCAGAAAATGGGTTCGACTGGGTCTGCGGATAAAATAAGTTGCATATTAAGGAAGTGCTCTCCTGCATATATATTTGTATGAAGTTTAAGGTGATAACAATGCACATGTAAGGGACAACCAATCATTCTGTATGTGGAAGAAACGAGGGAGGGTCTTGGGTCTGAACGTGGATTGACGAGTCCAAGTTTACTTTGAGTAACCAGATGAAGCTACTCAAGAGACCAAGGATGAACCTCGTCTGCAACAATGACCTTGGTCGCCCAAAATGGCTTTACTGGGGCCAGGAGCACGTGTGTGAGCAGCAGCAGCAGCACCAGAGCAACCGTGGGATCTTGTTGCAGTAAATACGAGGTGACGAGGTGACGAGGAACAACAGACCGTCACCCCCATTGCTGCCCGTAGAGACGCAAAGACAGCAGTCCCTCGTGGCCTCACGGTGAGGGACTCTCGTGTGAATTAATGGGGGGTCCAACACTCCCAACCCCTCCCGCCTTGCTTTATAGCCGCCACCGGAAGATAAAGCTGCACGCCGTTTACTCGGCCTGCGGTTGTTTCTTACTCAAATATTTTTTGTTTCTTTCCTACGAGCGGTTTACCGAAGCCCACATTAGCACCAGCCGAGTTAAGTTCCACCACCAGGGAGGAGGCCACGGTGGTGACGTTTGTAAGAGAATGAAAGACGCTATCTGGTGCCACAGCAGGCTCTTCCGGGCTCCTTCTCTGCCAGCAAAGCCACACGCAGAGTCACCGCAAGGGCCCCATTATTTAAAACGTCTCACCGAACAGCTGGCAGAGAGCTTATCCCAGTGGCAGTAGCCATCACGATTGCTCGCTAATGCCGTCAAAGGGCGGGGGGGGGGGGACTTGGTGCAGCAACTTTAGAGCTCTTATTCAGAAGCGACCTGGCCTCAACGAAGTGGCTTATCACGTGCAAATTCATAACAGCAGGCAAATACTCTGATTGAATGTTGATTTTATATGTGGAGGGGAAGCACCGGAGAGAGACCCACACGACCGTGGGGAGAGAGAGATATGCACACTCCAAATACACAGCAGGCGTCAGGGCCCCGGGGATCGAACCCCGACGTCCAGGTTCCCGAGGCTCGGAATCAAATCTGAGAGTGAATGTTTATCGCCGCCGTGTTTTTCAACGTTGTTGGCAAGCATCGTCGAGTGCCGGGCATGCGACGATGCTTCAATGTGAATCTTTTAATGTCTCAATGGACTAGAGTGACGAGCAATAAATGAATGATGTGACGCATCTTTGTGATGTAACGCTTATTGATTGCATCCAGCGAAACCGCAAACAGCCGCGCAGGTTTACGACAGTGATGTTTACGCCGTTATCTCGCAAGAAAAAAAGTTGGAGCTTTGTGTTTTTGTTAATGAGTCGATCAAAGAAAATGGAACCTGAATCCATTAATTTGACATATTTGTGAGCAAGTAATTAAACTATTTTAAGACCACACATTTTCAGGCAATTATCCCTGCACGATGTGCCTGCTACGTGGATAAATATATATTTAAGTTGGTGATGCGGGATTCAATGCATTCGTACTGTTACTTGCCATGCAGACACTGGCAGTGGTTGTTCACGTAACTAGTTTTCACACAATCAAGACGGATTGTGAAAAAGTGTAAACTGGTGGGGTTCCTTTATATAAATAAGTCGCGTATTTATCTTTTGATTAAGCTCTTTGAAAGTGACAGACTGAATAAGCACCCCCCCACCCCACCCCACACTAAAAATGGATGGTGTTATACACTCTTCCACAAGTCTGACTGTCTGTTGTACACCTACAAATATCTTTTCAGTCACACTCTTTAATAGTGTGCTAAAATTTACTCAAAATCACTGCTGAAGGCAATTAAACGACAGTTCACGCGTGCTGTACTTAACATGACACTAACTTGTAAATGTGTAGTGACATCGCGGGATGTCACTGTGCTGTGCCGGCCCTATAGAGGCACGGCGTGCGATGTAACGACATCACGGACACCACTATGATGTGGGTGTAGTACCGGCCCTAGAGAGTCACGGCATCACAGACACCACTATGGTG